TGCTAATGTTAATCTTCCACCAACTTCTGCTCCATTTAGCCATCTCGTACTCTAGATCCCTGTACACATGAGTAAGAAGCTACTGCCTTTTAAGATAGACGGCAATTTTATAGCCTCTACAGCAGAATAGAACACTTTGGACATAAAATTAAACAAGGGTGTTTCATCACAAAGTCAGACACCAGGACTTGAACTAAATTATAGAGAAAAACCTGGAATGATTTGTAGTCAGTTCTACAGCCCAGGGGGAAAAAAAAAAAACCACATTGGCCTTGTTTTTTTTGGACACTGCTTTTTCCTTTTATTTTTTGTTAACAAAGCATTAAGTTAATTACTTTGAACCGAGTCTCAAACTTACATATTTTCTCAAACTACTAAATCAGGACTGAACTGATATTTCATCCAGTTGAAGTCTCCAGTAGAACTTGGGTGTTTTACTGGCAAAGCCACTGAGCTACCATTTAGCCTTATTACTTTCAACAGAATTGGGATGGGAGAAAAATGCTCTCCTCAGAAAATAAGTGAAAAAGCTTCACTGTGTTCTCAAGCCTTCTCTAAATTAATCATTTTCTCTTTAGGTGCCAAATTGCACAAAGTAGATGATGTTCATTCCAAATGCAGACCAAATAATTACTCAAACTCTATCTGTGTCTTTTTCAGACATTAATTTTCCAAAGATGTCATACCTAATGGAAATCTCTCAATTGAATGGCCATCCAAACCACCTGGTCATTGCTCATTACTGTTTTCCTTCATCTGACTTGTGCCCTGCCACCTCAGCCCCTCTTCTGCCTGACACTCTCTTGCATACCCTTGAACATTCAACTTGATAGTCATTTTCCTTGGTAAGCCTTCTGCTCCCCTTATCTACCTTCTCACCCCTTTCTCTGTGCCCTCATGGCTCTCCTCTCATTGCTCCATTGTAAGCTCTTATGTCACCTATGTGTCCTCTTCATGAGAACTTTTGGAAGGCTGGGACCCTATTTTTTACATCTTCCCCTCTCCATTGCTTAACACAGTATCTGACACATGTGCCATGTGCTCAGGATTTGTTGAATGAATAGAGGAGTGAAAACATGAGATCAAAAGTCCATCACTGGTTAATGAAATGTCTTAGAAAGTCACATTGCTATGTAAAGGCATCTTTAAGGAAATATCAACACCTTTACCCATAAATGGTCTCCCTTACCCATCTGTCATCATCTTGCTCACCCCAAGTCACACAAGAATAGATTTTCATATATAATGGGATTTGACAACTTCAAACAGTCTCTGTGATTTTTTTAAAATTTTTACCATAATGTATGTGTGCTTGCCAGAGAGAAAGAGAGAGAAGGAAACTGGGACATCCTCCGGGGGGGCGGGGGGGATGGCCACACTGCAATCCCTTCTCCATTCTCCTCTCAGGATTTTGGACAAATATGCACACTTACTCAGTATGATTTTCAAGCCACTGGGGCTGGGACTCAAACCATGATTAGCCACGTGGGAGTGCAGCAGCTTAACCACCATGCCACCTGCTGACCCAAGTGTCTGTGATTTTTAGAGAAAATTAGCAGTCTCAGTATTTCCAGAATGCCTAAATTTGTAAAAAGAAAATTAGCAGTCTCAGTATTTCCAGAATACTTAAATTTGTAGGATTCTTTCATTATTTGCTCAGTTAGTAAAAATCAAAATGTTGTGAGTTCCCAAAGGAAATGCACAAATCCTTCTGCTTCTTAGCTTACCTAGGTCCTGGCTACTTAATCCCAAGACTCACAGAAAAGAGTAACTCAGAGAGGAAATGATCCTCAACTACTCATGAAAATTGATTTGGTATCCCCTTAGCTTTAAGGACATTGCCCTTCTCATCTATGTTTATCTCAGGACTATTTCCAAGCTCTGGGATGAAGAGGCTTCATGGTCTCTTTAGGTTGTTTCTGGTTAGAACACCTTAAAGCCAGGTTGCAAGAGAAAATCATTAGAGGATTAAGGACTCATATTTTTTGAACTTTTAAAAGGCATCTAATCTTCAGTGTTTCATTCAAGTCTCATAACAAATCTATAAAGAAGACAGGACAGGAATTACAACCTTATCTCACAATAACCAGAAAAAGGTAGACTGACTTGCATGAGGTCACTGAGCATAGAGTAAGTTTTAAAATCTAGGTTTTCTGACTTCCAGCTCGATGCTTTGGCATTTATACCATCCCATTTGGTTCCCATTTTTTGACTAGTTTTCTAAACTAGAACATAAACTCTCTGAAGAAAATGCTTGAGTAACACATCTTTTCCCTGCCCCTATAACCCAGTACCTAACACACGCCTAAGCAAAATAAAAACACAATTAAGCTAATTACCATTAAAAATTAGCTTTTGGGAACTTTTCCCTCTTTTCCAGTTGAGTATGTGCAGTGGCAAACCTCACAGTAAATATCTTCAGTTTCCTTTTAGGTATCACCTGAGTGGCAAACCAAGAGAGCTCTGGACAGTTCTCTTAGATGTGCTCCTTGTTACTAATCACTTCTTTACCAAGCTACTCGGTTAAGTCACTGATCTGATCTATTATAGTTCCTCCTTTCCTGTGATGTATGTATGCAGCTTGATAGGAGTAATGACTAGATTAGCTTCATTTGAGGTTACGTAGAAGTGGGAAGTTCAACTAGTTAGTAAGAGTTGACAGTCCTTCTATCCCTCCCTGTAGTACTTCCTAATCCCCATTCCTCATCCACCCCTAATCATGCCTCCCTCAGCCCCAACCTCCACCCCCACCCCTGGCCCTGAAGATAAGAGCTTAGCCCCCAATATACTCTCAGATAGAAATTTCAAGGAGCCTTAGAAATCCCCGAAATTGGGAACTCCCCAAGGACAGTAACCGTGTTTTCATCACTGGAAACCTCATTGTTCCTGACACAAAGCAGACACTCAATAAATACTGAATAAATGAACTATTCCAAGTTCATTTTAAGAGCATATCTTATATGGAATATTTATAAGTAAATAATTTAATTATCAACATCGGTTTAATGTGTGCCCTTTTTTCCCCAAATACCATTAATGCTTTTAAAAGAGACCTTCCTCTCTTCATTCAAAAAGAATAACTTAATAGCAGGAATTGTGGTTGGCTTAGAAGAGGTATTAAGTTGACAGCTTCCTCCCCGGAATAAATCTGGCTTTAATGAGACAATGAGTTGTTCCCTCTGTTCTCATTTTATCCCTCAGAGGTAGGGACCCCTGGAGGTTGGGTCATCACTGTTGTCATTTTGGTAGCCCCTTTGCTTTGGTAATTGTTCCAGGATATCCTATGAGTGATTTCTCAGTATTACCATATGGGTTATATTGGTGCCATTCTTTTTTTGCTGATAGTAAAAGGAGCAACCAAGATATTTATCCCTCAGAGACTTACTTAGTATCAAACACACTGCCCTGGCTCATTCTCCAAGAAGAGAAAAGGCAGAAAAGAGTGCCCATACCTAACACACTGACGTTGAGGATGCCTTGGTTTTGGCCGACAAAGTCTGGGGGGTTGTTAACATCGCAGATGTAAATTCCACTGTCTGTTGGCTGCATATGTGAAATAGTGATAGACGCATTACCTGGACTGTTGGACCCTACAATTCGATCTTTAAACCGCCCAATAGCTTCAGCTTTTCCACCTTCAGAATAGTAAATCTAGGACAGAAAAACAGCAAAAATGAGAACTGGAAAGTGCCCAGGACTAGATAAGCCACCTGGAAGCTCTTTCTATCCATGTTACCTGTGATAAGAAGCAGCATCTTCTCTCCATAAAGAACAAGTCCCTGTGACCAGGGTTTCTCAACTCAGTGGTGCACTTCAGCTTTCTCATAGCTTCTCACAGTTATTACTACCTCATTTGTACCTCAAAGCCACTCTGTGATGCCATTAGAGTAGAGACTGACATGTTATCCTAAATAGCTGGAACTGATAAGATTCAACTCCTAAGTTGGGGTGAGTAGATAAAGATGCTCACCTGATGAGTACCTGGAGGAAGCTCATTATATAAAACACAAATGGAAAGACGCTTATAAACTTTTTTGAGTTTACCTTGCCTAGTAGAACTATCTGGTCTCTCAAAAAGTTTGAATGTTCATGCTCCTTTCGTATGTACATAGTCCTTGGGAATAAGCAAACTTAGGTTTGTTCTGTTTTTTGGAAGCATAAGACTTCAGAGAAGAAAGTCCCCAGAGAAATCATTTGGTCCCATCTGCTCATTAGCACTTTTGGTAGTAGAGGCTCTGGGAAGTACTTAGTCAATGATAGCTACTATCTTTCTCTCCAGTGGCAGGAGGGCAGAACAGGAATTATTTTATCATTTAGACACATAAGGTAACTCAGACCCAAAAAGATTAAGGGACTCATCGAAAAGCCACAAGGATTCATTTGTTATTATTCTTATAATTTACTAGGCATAAGAAACGTCTGGGGCCAGCAGATGCTGGACTCCTACATGACTGACCATGGTTCAAGTTTTGGACATGATGGCTTGAAAATCATGCCAAGCACATGTGTGTGCATATCCCACCTCTTGAGAAGATAATGGAGGAGAAGGGATTGTGGCATGACCATCCCCCTGGGCAGTGATTTCTCACTTTCTCTCTCCCTGTGTCTCTCTCTGGTGAGTGCTCACACCCTATGGCCAGAGCTTAAAAAATTATTTTGAAAAAAGAAAGATCTGGATTTTATTCTATCTTCACTAAAGAACATGGGTACTGGGCCAGCAGGTGAAGTGGAAGTTAAGGCAGCCTGATCCCATGTGGTCAACTATGTGGTTCAAGTCCCAGACCCAGTGGCTTGAAAATCACACTGGGCACATGTGTGTACATGCTCAAAATTTCAAGATTAGAGTGGAGGAGAAGGTATTACACTGTGGCAATACCACCACTCCCCCAGGAATATATACGTCCTATAGCAAAAAAAAAAAAAAAAAAAAAAAAAAAAAAGAACATGGGTACTTAGATCAAAATGACAACTGTGGGAGTAACATGATGTGATGGGAAGAGGCCTAGCATCAGGTGACCTGAGCTTTAGTCACAGCTTTGCATCTGATTGTGACATCATCAAGGGGGGGGTGGTTTATAGCCATGTCTCCATGGTAACCTACTTGGTGATATGAAAGATATTTAATCATTTCAGTCTTTAGTTTCCACATCCAAATAAGGAACCAGAGCAATGTTTTACAAAGTATGATACAATATAGATACTTAAGTTGATTTTCAGTGTACATATAAACCCCATATATCCAGAACATCAAATCTCTGACCTCATGAATATTATATAGGATGAGACTAAGGTAGAGAGATTTTTTAAGATTTTAAGAAACCCAGTCAATACAGAAAACAACACTAAATGATTAGTAGTGCTGGTGATACACAAATATGACAAAAATCATGAAGATAAAGCATGAGTGACTGAAGTTTGGGAATCACTAGACTGAGTAATCCTTGAGATCCCTTCATAGTACATACACTCTATATACACTTTGTTAGTTTCATGTAAATGTGTGTAATTCAAGTTATTGTTGTTTATTGTTCAATAAATAGTATTGCCCTAGTCCAGTGAGACTAATATTTTTGTAAAATCTACCACAAAGGTCTTATGGTTCATTTAATTCACTCCGCTCACCTTACAGAAGAAACTGGAGCCAACAGAGATTTTTTTAGAAAGACACACACAAAATAAACAGTTGGGACAGACCTAAAACCCCATTCTCCTAATTCCTTCTCGAGTGCCCTTTACTTTAATGGGCCAGTCAAAGAGGGAAAACAATCAGAAAACCAAAATATATTGTCTAGAAGAATTCAAATGCATTTTCCATTAAACAGAAAGTCAACATATTTTTCAGCTAAGGCAGAAAAGTATATTTTGAGAGAAAATTCAAAGAAAAGAGTATATTTAAGGGGAAAAAAAAACTTGTCTCTCTCCTCCAGTTTTTCTAGCCTCAAATATGCTTTCTTTTCTGCCATAAGTGCAGTCATTTGTAATTCATTCATTCAGACTTAATAAATTCACAAATTATTTCCCCAGAATCACAGTATTTAACTTACAAACTAAAAAGTATTATTTCACATGGTCAAGTCATACAGGAGGAGGTTCAACTATCAAAGGTCCATTATCTTCATTTGAATTAATACCCACACTGTTTGGTTCTAGCAAACACCAGACTAACTTACTTTCTAATTAGAAATTTGAGGTCTCTTACCTGGAATACAGCCTTCTGACCACCAAGGAAGTCCTTTACAGCCTAAACATCTGGCCACCTTCTCTGCTCCTAAGACTAGGGCCTGGTCAGCTCTCTTTTATACTCATGCTTGATGACATCACAAAGAAAGAACAGGCCTGCCTTGGGCACAGTGAATTTCAGAGTATTCTGGTTAAAAGGACCTTATTTCTGCAGAGATGGGGTCATGGGTCATGGGGGAGGCAAGATAGTGTGTTTTAGTTCAGTCTAAGACATGTAAAGAAACCATGTAAAAGTCTCAGAGTTGGCCATGAATCAAGGAAAAATAAAAAATAAGCAATGAGGTCTTGGACCTGTAATTTGCCTATGAAAATGACCTTCATTCTTTCAGCCTGAGCTTCTCGCCCTGTAGTCTAATAAATTTTGCTCTCTCAAGAATGACACTAAATGATATCAGCAGTAGGATTGGGGGTAAGGAAGGATAACAATGGAGACCTATATGGGAAAGGCCTTAGTCTCAGGGTGCTATGTGAGAAAGTCCCCAGGACTAGGTAGCAGCCAGATACACAGATGTAGGGGATTTCTCTTAGGGGAAATCCATGCTGTCACCCTGTGCTTGCAACTATAGGGCACGTGCGCTCTCCAGACAGAGAGAGACATAAAGACAGAAAGCGAGAAATCACCCCCCAGGGGGGATGGTCATGCCGCAATTCCTTCTCCATTCTCCTCTCGGGATCTTGGGCACGCACGCACACACACCCGGCGTGAGTTTTAAGCCACCGGGTCTGGGACACAAACCGTGGTCGACTACGTGGGAGTCCAGAGACATAGCCATTACGCTAACTGCTGGTTCCCTGGTTTATATATTTTTCAAAGAAAGAATATGGTCAATTTGGAGATCAACACAATTAAGGTCCAGGAAAAGCCACAGATGCTGAACAGGCCACATCCTAGGGATGGGGGGGTGAGGGGGCGGTGAGTCCTACTTTAAGAAAACTCATCCAAGTATTCCCTTAAGTAGTACTTGTCCATTTTTTAACCTACCTTGCCCTTCGTTTCTGTGTTTATGGCAGACTACCCTGTTTTCGCCTAGGGTCCTCTCTGCCCACTCCCATGATGATGCTAGAGTCTGATGGGTGGAGTTATAGTTCATAGTTTATAAGTTAAAAGAGTCTTTGGAGCCAAACAGATATTGTAAACATGGGAAATGGCTGGGAAAGATTGATGGGTAGTGGTAAGATCATAAGGGATAGTGAGGACTATGGTGACCTGGAAAGCAAATGCAAACAAGGCATTCAAACACTTGAAACAAACAGAATACTGAGCTGGCCAACTGAAATACATCCAATGGTGAAATCTGGCCCAGAGATCTCTAGTTTGCAAATGCTGATTCATTCTCTCCTATTACAGAAAAGGATACTGGGGCTTCAATAGAGGAAGAGATTTCCCAAGGGCACACAACTAATTTACAATCAGACCTAAAATCCAGACTTCCTGATTCCCACTTAACACCTTAAGATGGCACTCATAGTCCTCCTTGAGATGAGAAGGATGATTCCTAGGCAATTTTCCTCCTTTGGGGCCTTTCACTCCCTACTCCAGCCTGATCTTTCTCCTGCCAATTGCTGCTATTCATTGGCATGATGTTTCCCATGCTGTGTTTACCACGTGATGCCCTCTACATTTGCCAGCTGCAACTGTAGACTCTTCAGTTCTTTACAGAGCAGCCTTTCCCCTCACACTATGCCAAGTTTCTCTCCATATGAGGCCATGCAGCTGGGAGCCAGATTTGTCCTAAAAGATTTTTTCTGCAACTTTGTGACATCTCTCTAACTAGAGGTTTGCCGTATAAACAAGAAAAGTTGAGATAGTTCGGTCTGCTTTCTATTTGTGTCTGAGTTGAAGTTACTGAATTCTAGAGCTGATCCAGGAAATTGCAGGTTCTTTTTGGGAATATGGAGGGCATGGAAGTACAAAGTAAACCAACCATCTTCTCCCTTCTGTTCTTGCTGTTCTGTACTGTTCACAAAGGGGCTAGCCATGGGATAAGGGGTGGAGGAGATGTAAAGTAGCAATGGTCTCAAGCTCAGAATATTCTCTGAACTGTACTAGAGGGGCAGAGATTGCACATGTTAGGGATATAACACCAAAAGAAAGGCTCTTCAGCTCCTAGACCACACTCTTGACACCCTGCCATTTATCTGAGAATCCATCATTTTAGTTGCTACTTTGCAGTGAAGGCATGGAAGGTCCCTGCTCAAATGCATTTCTTTGGAAGAGAACAAAATAAAATATCCCCAGTCCCTAGCACCTTAGCATTAGATTAATTATCAGATGTAGCAGAACAGATAAACTTTGACAGGTGGGGATAGGGAAGATTTTGTATTGATTCTCAATGAGGGTAGCGAGCATTTTGTACAAACAATTTTTTGTTGTGTGGGTCTATCCTATCTATTGCAGGACATTTAGTTCC